TATGTATATACATATATACATACTTGAAAGACAAGTCTAAAACTTTAGTTCATTTTGATGTTTGAAGAATAAAATTTTCCTCAGTAAAATGTGAATCTGAGAATGGAGGACAAAAGTTTTTATTTGTTCTGTCCATCCACAGGCGTTCGAGCTGCTGTGTGACCTGCTGCTGCTGTACAGCGGGGCTTCTGTTCGCTCAGAACCGGCCCTGCAATCCCTGGTCCACGTGCCGTCTGATTCTCTGCACGCTGAGCTGGCTTCCTTCCTTCTGGACTACGTCTTTGTTGACCCCGAAGACGCCGAGCTCAATGGTAGTTTTACACTAATCGATAAGTGTGGTTCTTTCCTAAAGCAGCTTTTAGCACGTGTTAACAAATGTTAACAAGTACGCTGCACTTGTTTTTTTTTTTTAGACTTTTTAAGTAAAAGGGGTTTGCTGGTTTTTTGTGGACGTTTGATAAGTTGGAAAGGTTTTTACTCTGCCAGCAATCTCCCAGAGGAGTCTGCTCTCCATTTCTGCCTGTGCACACACTTTCAGATTCCTTTGTTTGGATTCTGCTCATATTTCACGACATTCCGTCGACTGCAGCAAATAAAAACAGTTAACCGAGACGGAGAGCGTCTTTGCAGCTTGTTTGTGCTGAATAATTGTTTACCTCTGCTTTTCTAATAGTCTTTTCATACATTTGTCTTATTCTCTCCTTTCCTCCAACCTTGGCTTTTCTTTCTAGATGAAGATGATGAACTGAAAATGACTCTTGTTCAGAAGAAGCGCAACCACCTGGCTGGTTACTGTAAACTAGTGATCTACAATGTTCTGGACCTCAGCACAGCAACCATCATCTTCAAGCACTTCAACAAGGTGCCGTTATGGTTTTATCTGCGTTTGTCTTTTATATTAAATATAAAGCCATGTGTCCACAGCTACACTAAATGTGTTAATAAGGTGGTTATTTTTGAATAAATTAACTGTATTTGGAGAACGGGATGATATAATTAATGGAAAAATAATGGAGAGGATGTGTTTGGAAGTGGGGGAAGGTGATGAAATCTGTTTTGGACCTAGTGAGGTGCTAAAGATGAATCAGAGAGAAACGTAGCTAAAAGAAGCTCTCATGACGCGAACAAAGTGGGTTGTTTTATGTTGTCAGACACTTACCCTGTGCTGTTTATTAAACAGAGTAAAGATGTTTCTTTTTCTCTTCGTCTTTTCTTTTTTAGTACTTTAAAGACTTTGGTGATATCATAAAAGAGACCCTGAGGAGGAGCAAACTCATCAGCTCCATACAGAGYGCCAAGACTGTGTGCCTGAGCCTGCAGCAGGTGTGCTCTTCATTTTACCTTCATCCTTTCTTTCTGGGAGGTTTTTTGTTGTTGTTTTTTTTGTAAAAAAGTTCAAATTTAAGCTGTGAAAAGCAGCTCTGTGGCAGAATGTTGTGAGTGTGTGGCAACAGAAGTAAAAATAAATGAAGGCAATAAGATAAAATGCTGATGATCACTCTGTTCTGAAAACAACAGGAAGTTGTGACCCCTTGTTGGTGTGTGTGTGTGTGTGTGTGTGTGTGTGTGTGTGTGTGTGTGTG